AATATAAAAAAAGGTTTTAAAAATATCTGAGTCTTTACAAATTATCAAATTTGCGACATGCTTAAGAAGACAGGTTATTTACTAGGTTAACTCTAACAGCCTGTTCGTCACAAAGTAAGTTTGCTAAGTAAGGTATTACAGAACTTTTATAGATTTGCTTGCGTGCATGTATTTTAATGTATTTACGTCTACCAGAAGATATACAACGAGAAAGATATGAATGAAGCGGATGGTTAGTATCTGATAAGATAACACCTACCAAGAGTTTGCAAGACTTAAGATGTCTATCCACAAGCATATTAACAATGACTTCAAAAGATTCACCACATACCTTGCAAACTGCCTTCAGCACTCTACGCAAAATAGCAAAGTCTTTTATTAAAAGCCCAGGAAAGAATAATGGAGAACAATATAAAATAATAGGTAATATGCAGGAATTTACAAAGTGTAAGAGTAAATGGCGAGTAATCCCAAAAGCATGCAGCCTCTTTATGTAGTATGTCAAACGGTAAACTTTTTTCGATAACAGCAAAACATGAGAAGACCAAGAAAGATCAGAGGAAAAAATAACACCAAGATATTTGACCTTCGACACTGTGTTTATTAAGGAGTCTCCAATGGCACAAGCATTGTGTGATCCCAACATAGAGTATAGGTTCTGTCCATGTCTCAAGCTAAAATTAACAGCTTGACATTTAGATGGATTGAGTCAGAGACCATTACCAACAGACCAGCTTTCAATACGAGATAAAAAGTCGTTCATTTCTATAGGATGTAAGGAGGTAGAAATTGGCATACATACAGTGAGGTCGTCCGCATATTTTACAAAAGTGTTTTCTGTGGAAGATGGCAGATCATGCAAAAAGAAAGAGAAGAGCAGAGGTGAAAGGACGGCTACTTGTGATACACCTACAGTAGACAGTAGAGTTGTTGAACACTTTCCTTCAAATACAGTGTACTGTTCTCTTCCAGAAAGGTAGGAACATAGCCAGTTGGTTATCCAGCTGTCAGTGTCGACGCTGATCAGCTTGTTAAGTAAGAGGTGTCTTGGAATAGAATCAAAAGCAGAAGTGTAGTCCAGGAAAGCGCATCTAACATACTTCTTACCCTTTTCCAACCCGAACACTATATTGTGATGCAGAACAGCAACGGCATCTAATGTGCTTCTTTTGCATTTGTAAGCAAACTGATATGGATCACAGTGCTCTTTTATTACAGGTTGAAGTGGTTGTATCAGTAAGTTTTCCATTATTTTGAGGAAAGGTGAGGTTATTGCTATGGGTCTAAGTTTCGCATTTTTATCACCAGAAGCCTTCTTAGGTATAGGGATTACCTTTATCTTTCTCCACATTTTCGGTAAGACATTAGTTGAGAAGGATCTGTTGAAGATATTCATTAATGGATAACATAAAACATCAGCACATTTTTTAAAAAGGAGGTTTGGGATACCATCAGGTCCTAAACATTGGGATGAATTCAGAGACTGGAGACATTTCCAGACATCATTTTCAGTGAAACTGGGGACACAATTATTCTTCAAACCCTTGGATATAGGGAGCGTGATGTCAGATGACTGACGTACAAAGGACTTATTTAAGTCACAAACATTTAGCTGGTTATCGCTTCTAGTCTGCCTGTCCCCTGTAATTTCTTTAAAGAGTTTCCACATACTTGGAGAGCTTCTGCAAGATAGAAGTTTTTGAGTGAACACACAGTTGAGACGTCTAATCTCTAGTTTTATTTGATCATTTAACTTACGAACTTCAATAGTGTTTTTCTCCTTGCACATCCTTTCTTTTACCCTCCGTAGTCGTTTTAGTTGTGGAGATGTAAGTCGATCAAAACTTAAAAAGAAGGTTTCGGTAGGATAGCAAATATCAAAACAGAATTTAAGATAACAGGTGATAACATCCGTTGTGTTTTCTATTGAGTCATCTGTAAATAATTCCCAGTTGGTCGTACGAAACATGTTTTTCAGATTTTGTAAATTTTCTTCTAAGTAATTCCTATATATGACTTTTTTGGTATGGTGTATGTGTGTACTCTTTCCATGTTTACCATATACTTTAGGTAAGACACGAATTATACAGTGATCCGAACTAGACAATGGAGCACGTTTACGAGTCACATAGGCACCCACATCATTAATGAAAACCAAGTCTAGATGAGAATTCAAACGAGTAGGAAAATCTACTACATTTAGGTGACCTAGCGATGTAAGGAAGCTACAGTCACATGAATTGAAATCGCCACATACAATTGAAAGTGAATCACTGAAGGCAGCAACGGCGAATTCAGTAAATTTATCAGTGAAGACAGATAGCGCAGATGATGTGCAGTCTGGAGTCATGTAGATATTGGTAACATAAATATATTTGTATTTATTCAGGTGTTTTGGACGGCACCTTAAAGTTAGACAGTCAAAAAAGTCGTTTGAAAACTTGAAACAGTCAAAAGTAGATCTACACCAGTTAACGTTTACAAAAGTAGCTACTCCGCCACCACAAGTCTTTTTATTGTTTGATCGATCCTGACGATAGATATTAAAATCACGTAATGACACTAAGCAATCATCCTGTAAGTCAGTTAACCAAGATTCTTGAATTGTGATGACACCACAATTACGATACATGTTTTGACTTAGCAGAAATTGGAGATAGTCCACCTTGTTAATTAGTGATCGACAGTTAGAGTTAAGTAGCTCGGGAATCGACATTTGATTGATGTTTATTCTCTTTAAAGCATATTGCCAACCACCACGATGTCTCTTATTGTGCTTCTTTGTAATTTTTGCAGCGAAAGGACGTAAGCATTTTATAAACGCGCCTGTGTAGGTTATGCGATTAATAGACATAATGATAGGTTAAAACAAATTAAAAAAAAGACACCCAGATAACTTGTTGAAATATTTAGATGGCAGAAAACAGGTAGCCCAGGTATTCAAGCAGGCCGCCTTAATCTGTATTAGTATATGTAATCACTTGTTTACACAAAATATTCATTGTCCGTTGACCGGATACAGCAAAGACATACTCTGCCAGAGATCAAACCGACTTCCAGATGAAGAGGAAATCAGGAAAAGACACTGAGAGTGGATGGGACATACATTGTGGAAATCATCAAACTGCATCACGAAGGAAGAGATAACTTGGAATGCTAAAGGAGAGCGGGAAAGAGGAAGGCCGAATAACCCGATGCGCCTGGGATAGAAAGTAGAAATCAAAAGAATGAATGGCAACTGGGAAAAATGGTAAGCATTGTCCGATACAGATTTTGATGGAGAGTGCTAGTGGGTGGCCTTTGCACCTCCATCAGGGGTAACATTCGTAAGTTAATAAGTAGGCTAAAAGTGTCTCTTAATTGGCTCAGCTGATATTCTAGAAAAAAGTATATTGAGAGAACTCATAAAAAAACATCAGAATATTTAAAAGTACTATTTGGGATAAAGATGTAAATATTATATAAACGGTTTTAAAAGACCGTACTTTTTATGAGTGTTAGGGATATGGGATCAAAATAAAGATGGCTATGAGTTCAGTACTATCAACAGTACAGCATACTTTAAAATGTTTTTATTCTTATTTCAAACCTTACAAAAGCAGTTTCAGTACAAATCGTTTGGACAACATCCTAAGTACAAAAGAACTGTGTAGAGAAATGAGATTTACCATGGTTTTTACTCTTTGTATATTACTTTTAACCTTTTCAACTAGATTTCCATCCATTCTAATTGTGCAAGTTTTCTATCTAAATATTGTATAACTGTTGAGGAGTCCCACAATAGAACGAAACGACCGTCCAGTGTTTCTAGGTTTTTCACAGTGGTTCAGCTTCAACTGACTTATGATCTCAACTATATAAAACTCTCTTTGAAGTCAAAACGATTCAATAGATGTGGTTAATCTGAAAGCTAAAGCACATTCAATTCATTTATAAAGGCTAATATGAATTATTTCTTAACTCAAATTAAGTTTTCTCCCTATTTAACCAAATATTGTAATAGCCATCAGCATTATTGTAAGTATTATTATCAGCATTTACTTAACTTATTACTTATCTGTAAACATTTACTACAGTTGTATTATGCTCAACTGCTATATTATTTTATGTTAGATAAGTAATTTTGAGCATTTAAAGTGATATATTACATAAAGTATATTCAATTATCAGAATGAATTATACTGATAAGCTTTGGTAAAGTATTCAATACAAATTTAATTGATGATAAGTTTTGTTAATTGAACGCTAGTCTCGTAAACTCTAAGTTAAATTTACACAACAACTTAAACACAAGAGAAAAGGCGTAAAATATGCGATAAGCACTTTACTCCAAAGGTTCATTTATGTACAGAAAATATAGGACTTTTATATTATTTTAGAAGTCCTTGGGTTTTCCTAAAAATTCTAGAATACTATTAAACATAGTAGCAGTGTAGTAATCAGTCAATCAGAAACTCTACATGTGACTTTTCACTTTCGTGATGTTTCTAGCAAAACTTCTAGTCCAACGCTGATTGGATAAAATGATTCTTAATGTTTTCCATAGCCTTATTGTCTATTGCGAGAAATTTTCAGGATCGCCCAAACAATTGAAAAAAAAGATTTTATCAACAAAACTATTGCTTTTTTATAAAACAATCTCATTTCAATGTTGTTATGTTTTTATTTGATTAGAATTTTCTTAAAAATCACTCTTATAGGAGTGCACATGAATGTATACCTTTATCTAACATGTCAATGAACTTCAGTTGCGTTTACATAAAATGTTATCTTTTTTTGGTTGTTGTTGTTGTTGTTGTTACTAGTACAGATTTCAAATAAACACTTAAAAAGCTCCGTCTTATTCAAAATGAGATATTATGATCTCGAAATTCTCAACAAGAAACTATTTCGTTTTCTAACCTCGATAGCTAGATATCGGTATGTAAAGACTGTAAGAAAGTAAATCATTACAATAAGAATATATTTGTAAAACAAATCATTTATCAATAAAAACTTACGAGCTAAATGCACGTGGTCTATTGTCTTCTTCGTTTGAAAGATAATAATAATACAATTGATGAAGACCACAGGCGAAGGAAGAAATTACCAGCAGAAATATGAAAATGAATTTTGTAATATCAATTAACATATTTCCAAGTGAAATTTGTAATGGTCCAAGGTGTTCATTAATCTAAAAATTATGAAAAATAGTATCTATTTTATCAGTTCTTGTAAAAACAAATACATATGTAGAAATTAGAACTGAAAATTAGACATTCATACATCGGCTGTAGTAAAAACAAATCAACACCTTTTAAAACTATACTCTCATCAAACTCTGTAACGACTAAAGACATTCCCTTCTCGCATGTGATATTATGAAATGATTTTAGTTAGACAATCAAAGAAAAACAACATGCACTAGACATCTGTTCTGTTTGAATATCGAATTCCTCAAAAGTGCTTGGTTACCATCTCAATGAGTATCAAACCCAAAACTGTATGACCTCTGATCCCCTATTCTACAATTTATTGACCTAAAAGTAAACAATCATCCAGAGTTTCCTGGTTTTATGTAACTGTCTTAGATCAGTTCACGATTCAAAGTATCAAATTTTAACAATCTTCATGACACCCTGTAATAATATTCTTCCACATCATCATCAAGGGCATATTTTTAAGTGTAAAGTTTGTTCGCATCTTTTTGAGTGTCGTACAGTTTAATTTCTCAAAGTTAATCTTATATATGGTTATAACTGTTTCCTTTTGATGGAGTTTTGTTCTCTGGGCTGGATGATTTGATCGTGGAGCTTTCATTATCCTTCTGAACGACATCATCAGCACAAACTTCGGGTTTCATTTGATATAATTTCCTTTAAATTGCATTTTAAACAAGTAAGGGTACCATCGTTTATTTTCTTTTGTTAGTTATTATAAAAAAATTATTTGAAGTATTTACCGTTTGGCAATTTCTTTCTCATTTTCTCATTTATTGAATCCATTTAATTACTCAAGAAAATAGCCCAATAATTAGATCTTCATTTCATGATCTCGTAATTAACTAACAAAGTACGTCATTTTACAATCCTTTAATTAGAGAAACAATTTCACTTAACTAACCAGTGGAATAGCTAACTATACCATTAACATCAAATTAGTTGGTCAATACCAAAAGCAAATAAATATAAAACATTACGTCCTGCATAACAAATCATTATTTTCCTCATGAAGATAGTTTCATAATAATAATAGTGTAGTTTATGCTACTTATGTCAACAGTTGTAAGTAGTATTTGATACCAATCGAAAAATCAATGTCTAGCAGTAGAAGGTTAGGAAGATCAAATAGAAGAGAATGGAAACAAAGAATGATTGATCTGAAGATGAAGCAATGAAAATGTATGAGATAATTGATGAAAGTGTTGCAAATGAAGTATTAAACATATAGTATTCACATTTTACCAAATAACTTTGTAATTTTGTATTTAAATGTATTCAGAACTTCTCGCCCGTGTTCTCAAAAAATAACAAAGCAGAAGTAATTGTATAACTGATCCAATCAGTTGTTTTACTTCGTTGATTAAGAGGATTTTCGCAAACTAAACGGTATAGTCAAATTACCGTCTATAATATACAACATTATCACAATATAAATTATAAAAATTTATACTTCACATGTAATACAACTTTAACAAAAATTTTAGTTGTATTTTCCAGTAAACCAAAACAGTAAGTTATCCATTGTAATGAGTGAAATTTTAAATAGAAGCCAGTAAGTTTGTATTTTTTGTTTTAAAGTCATGATAGATAATATAGGGAACAGGAACATAAGTGGGTACAATTGAATGCATTTGAACAAAAAATTACAAAACCTATTCGTGAAATCTGAAAACCATACAGTAAATACTTCATTTGAAAAATGTCAGTCAATCGTCTCAATCTTTTTTGTTCTTTTGTTTCTACACCAATCATTCTTTGTTCACGTTCTCTTTCTTTGATTTTCTTAACCTTCTGCCACAGGTATTTTACTTTCGATTGATGGTACATACTACTTATATCTATCGACATCAGTATCACACATCACAATAATCTGAACTCAAATTAATTAGTTAGTTTTAGTTAAATCAAGGTAAAATGTGTGACAGAAATGACAGTTGAGCTTTTTAAATTCGATACATTTAAAAAATATAGATCATTTTTTAACAATTATAGATAACTTTCAATAGTACAAATCCTTCTATGTATTTCATAGAGATTATATATCTGAATCATCTATGAAAGCGTTAGATGTTTTACACATCATCATGAAGAATTCTAATCATTTAGTTTAATTTTATATTCAGTAGAATGCTAATGCTAATCAGAGTTTATTCGATAATATTATAAACAAATAATATAACAACCAAAGTCCTACTTATTATATAGTATATTGTTTGAGCTTAAGAAAACGACTTGCCCGAGCTTTTGTAATACATAGTAAGCGTATAATACCCTATAATCCAGTCTATTCAAGCAATACTTAGTTATATTTACTAACTGAAACGATAGATTCATACATAATTTATAATTCATACCCAGACAAATGTTTACAATATGTGTTTTAGAAGTAGTGCAAACATAATTCTTTACCATTTTATACAGATTGTTTTTTTAGGAATAAATACGACGAGTACTATTTTCAACAAAAGATAATTCAGTTAAGTACTATGTCATCGTTTCCTCTGAATATAATCCTTTGCATTGTAAGTAACTTGAAATACTAACTCGAATGATGTGGTAAATAGAAGATTCCTAAATAGTCCATTCAACGTGTGACACATAAAATATGTCATAGTCGAAAGCAAGAGTCAATTAAAGCTAGACCACCATGGAAAACTTGGAAGCACTGAATGGCTGTTTCGTCCTATTGTGGGACTCCTCAGCAATGCGCATCCACGACATAAAATATGTACAATTCAGATCAACTCAAACCGACTGTAATAATAAATACCGAATAAGTAAAGCATGGAATTAGTAAACTGGACGTTCAATATATCAGTTACACTAGTTGAAAATCTTTTGATTATTGGGAGAACTATATAACTATTAACAATATAATAATGGGATTGGGTTTTACAAATCTAAATTAGGTTACAACAGCAACAAATTCAAAGACATGAGAAGAAAAACTATCAAAAATATAATTTTCGTTGTTATCAGTAGGGGTTTTGTGGATAATATAATAATTTTAATAGTTGAGATCATGAATCGAATTTTCCTGTGGTGGTCTAGCCTCAATTAATTCATGATCTCAACTATTAAAATTTTTGTATTGATTATTTAAATGTTCGTTATATTCAATACAACCCATAAATATCTGTCGATAATTTTGTTTAATTTTTTTTCACTGGATTTTTAATTTTATTTTTACACTTAAATTATAAACATTTTGTTTACTTTTCCATGAAATAATTATTTTCAGAAGTGGCTTTTGTGGAGATTTTAATAATTTTAAAGTTGAAATCATTAGTTAATTGAAGCTAGACCACCAGTGTAGTTCAACCACGTCTGTTGTGAGATAGGAACTCATTGAAGACAATTGGTGACGGTCGCTCAATTTCGTGGATTAGTTGAAGTTAGACATGAACACCGTTGGGTGTCGGCTCAGTTGTTCCAAAGGTTGAGCGCTCGCAAGCGAGACTGATAGGTTCTGGGTTCGAATCTTGCGGGGCGGGGTCGTTAATGCGCCCTGCTGAGGAGTCCCACAATAGGAAGAAAAGGCCATCCAGTGCTTCCAGGTTTTCTATGGTGGTCTAGCTTCAATTGACTCATGATTTCAACTATAAAAATAATTATTTGCTTTTAAATAATTTATAAGATATTTATTATAAATTATAAAGATTTTACTTGTTTTCTATGAAAAAGCATTGTAAGCATATTTGTTTTTAAAGAAAAAGAAAAAAGAAAGAATTCGGATGTAAATATATTATTAACTGTCTTAAGTTACAAATTCCCCAACCTCCCGCCAAAAATATTTAATCTTAAATGAAATTCGATCTAGTTGAATGAAAAGAAAATAAGAAATCATAAAGTGATTTACATTAAGTTTTTATTCTAAATTCTCAAAAATTGGTAAGTGTGAAGTAAGTTATAATGGAGGATATGTCCTTATCACTTTTCTCTTCCTAAATTTATTTCACTGGATTATACTCCTTGAATAACATCTTCAAACCCTAATCTTTCCGATTACTGCGTATAATCTTGCTACCTCTACCACTATGGGATTTGAATCAGGAACTCCATCTCTGTGCCAATATGGTATGACAACTTGAACTGATGTACGTACGTACGAAGTTCTACGTTGTGACTGGCTGACTGACTATTAGTGAAGAGTATTAATTAAAGGTGCAAAAACTCCAATGACAGGAAAATAAAAAAATACTTGTTAGCGAAGAGATTTTACGTGCAAACCGAAACTGCACACTTATATACAAAGTATTGTGTGGATAAACAAAGATGAAAAATTCACCTTAAAAATCTACGTGATTACAATAATCAAATTGTCTAAGTTATGAGTCATCCAGAGAACCTTAGACCTAATCATGAGTTAAAATTTTCATGATGTAAATCGAAAAGCTCCAAATAACTGTCTAGTTTAAATGTTAACATTGAATCCAACAGAAAACTGGACCTAATACCATTTTGACTCATGCTGAACAGTGCTGAGGAGCTTCATGTTTCTTTATTTTCGTCAGTTTGTGGTGAAGCTATCTTTTCAGTTTCAATACTATTGATTTAAAGTTAGATTTATAGTAATTATTTTCTTAGCATGAATAAAAATCTTCCAATCTCATAGAATACTTAAAGATTGTTATTTCGAATCTCTTTCTTAACTATTTCGTTTTATTAACTTTATTTATAAGATTAATTTTATTTGTGCACAATCTATTCATATTACCCAGTTTTTCTAGGTACATTTCATTTTTAAAAATTGGGACAAGAATCTATACTTGTCATCTTTGAAACTTTAGACAGAAATGAAAGAAAATCCCTCAGTGTGAATAACTGCTTCTGATATATCTATCCATAAGATTTGTTTTGGGCATTATACACTATTTGTATATCATTGTAAACAATGAAGATGTTCGTTACTGAATTCTGTAGTTCTTATACTGAAAGGAGATTGGAAGATGCATATTTAGAGTTCGATTGT